GCAGCTTTACAAGCCACTCCACCCCGTTGTCCTATAGATAGGAAGCTTCCCCAAGGAAGGGAAAGGAAGGATAATATGGGGAACCACCAAGATGATCCATTCTTGACCGAGATCAGTGCGCGATTTGTAAAAAGAAAGGACATTGGAAAAATGAGTGTCCTTACCGAAATGCGCCACCAAACTCACGAGAAATTCTATTTATGAAAAAAAGAAAATGACTGACGGGGTCGGGGCTCTTTTTTTTTTTCCCCCCCCCCAAGGTCTTTGGATGCTTAATCAGACATGAACTTGATACTAAAAACCTAATTAAAGAAATCAAAGGAATTGCTAGTCATCCAACAGAGAAGTATTTCTTTAATGTGTCATCTGAGGCTGCGCTGCTAGAAGCAGCAGGAACACTCGGTGAGCGCATTTTTAGCATAGAAGGTAAAATACTTAGATTGGAATCTTGTAGCTGAGGAGCTGTTTTGGCTTCATCCTAGCGTACGACCATGAAACTCACAAGTACCGGGAACTGTGGGCTGCTTGGTGCTCACCAAGAGGGCTCTGTTTTTTGAGGACTTTCTCGAGGTTATTCTCCCAGCTAACGCTGCTTCAAGGCAGTTCCCGCCCTTTGGTGGGAATTGACCCTCAGTTGCTCAAAACCTCCATGAAGTCCTGGGTTTGAGGCATCTGAGGGTTTGTATTAATTCATATGTGTTTAGAGCTTTTATCAAAGGAAAAGTGAAGTATCTATCTTAACTGCTTGTCAGATTCACCTGTGTTTCACTGTTAACATCAAACAAGCGTAAAGATAAAAAGCAAATCAAAAAAATGCAGTTACACTAATGCAATCAGCATAGCTGCTACTATACTCCTTTCCCGACATCACCTAGAGTTGTTGGTACACAACTTGCACGAACATGCTGAAGAGATAAGTCAGTGGCAGCTCATATCATGAAAGTCAAGTTTTTAAAGTCATATTTAGACCTTGCTTGGGAGAGTTGTGACCTACCCTCAGCCCTCTCTGAAAAACTTTTGTAACTACAGCCTTACTCTGCTTAAGGTAAAATCTCTTCCTTCCCTCTCAGCTGTAGGGAAGCCCTACGCAGGGTGTTCTCCTGGTGCC